AGGGGTGAGCATAATAACCAGAAAACCGAACCATAACCAAATTAACCAATATAACCGAACCGTTTTAAAAACTGTTGGTTCGGTTTCTAATTTTTGTTAACCGATAACAAACGGTTCGGTTATGGTTTTATAGGTTAACGAACCATTATTAACTGAACCGCTAACTTTATATTTTAATAAATAAAATTATGGATTATATATAAAATAATATAGTCAAACTTATTTAAAACCCATTAAAAATTCAAAATATAATTCATTAATCTTCACTTATTAGGAAATGAACGTGCAATCAAACCATCAAAGGATGATCATGTAGATCATGCAGACACACACAATTTTCCAATCATGCATTGAGTGGGATTATTGATTAATGCTGTAATTCCTAATCGGCTAATTCTATAATTTGTAAATATTATTCACAATTAGTTTAATCTTCATACTCATAATCCTAATCGGAGGTTTCTCACACCGTTAATCATAATCAAAGATTGTTTTGACTTTATAGTTCTATTGAAGGATTTTATCAATTTATAATCAAAACTTCTAGGTAAGTTAAGTTTTGGTTCTTCTTCACTTCGTGATATTTTAAGAATGTATTTTTTTTTAAATTGTCTTTTTTTATTTACTGTTTTTGACTTAATCACATTGAATGTATATAAGTGATTGTTTTTTATCCAGATAACACGTAATATAAATGTTTAGTTATTTTATTTTATAGTTTTTCATTTAATCGCTTTGAACGTGTATGGATGTTTGACTTTATTTTAATGTTAATATCAATTATCAATATATGAAGTTATTAATGTCATTTTTTTTTAATGTTTTATACTTTTTATTGAATGTTTTTTTATTTTGAATGTGACTATGTGTTATCTTGAGTATCAAATGTACACATTTTATTCTATTACTATAAGCTAGGTTACAAACATTGGTGTCAAGGACTTTTTGTATTCTCGTTTCATTTTTTTATGCAACTATACTTTCGCCTTTTATATTATTTTGAACATTATGGTTAACCAATATTTACCATTAACCAAAACCGTTAACCAAAAAAAACCATTAACCATAATCAATATTAACCATACCCAATGGTTATGAAAATGCATTAACCAATCATAATGGTTATGGTTCGGTTTTGACCAATAACCGAACCAAACCGCCCCATACACACCCCTAATCGCAAGAACTCACCAGAAGAAACGTGTCTGAAGGCAAACCAAACCTAATAATCCTCATTGCCTTGACATTACTGGTTAACTTTCCTTTTTCGTCCTGTGGAACGTCTTTGAAACATCCCAAAAATACGGTCCAAAATTTTCATTTTTAATTTTTAAATAATACCATAGTAACCCAAATCATCTAAAAAAACTTAAGTGATAGTATCTCAAAACATCATATCAAAACACTGTATCAAAATCACATGTCCAAATATTAGAGTAAATCATCCCAGGCTACACATTGTCGTGTGTGCAATGTAGTCATCCCGAGCGCTTCCCCTTACTAGCAGAAGTACTTGAAACCAAAACTGAAAACTGTAAGCACGAAGCTTAGTGAGTCTCCCCAAGCTATCACATACCATACATAATCACATAATCTCATATAACACACATTGGGCCCCACCCTGCTACATCGGGCCCCGCTCGGCATCAGTCTTGCCTGACATCAAACCGCATCTGGCATCGGGCCCCACCTGACATCAAGTAAAGCTCGGTATACGTATGAGCACATCTACTATTATACATAAACATAAGCATAATCACATAATCATAGACATATAACTTTCCTCGGGCCCCACCCGGTATCGAACCGAGATCTGGAAAGCATACAAACATTCCTCGGGAACCTCCCCGGCATCGGACCGTAGTCCTGAAACATACATATATAAACACATGCAAGAATCACAAAGACATCAAACGTACAGATATTCATCGGGTACCACCCCGACATCGGATCAAAACTCGGAAAAATATAAACCTACATCGGGCCCCATCCGGCATCGGACCTTAGTCCAGAACACACTTACGTACATAAACAGGCTGGCATTGGTGCCTTTGACCCATTCCTACAGGAGAAAACTCACCTAAGATGTCAAGTGAAATAGTTGTACGTCTCTGCTCTTGCAACCGGCTCTACTCACGCCCTATATAGAAATAACCCCTTAGATACCATTCCTTTCTCAAGACCCCTTCACAAGTCAACCTTGGTCAAAGTCAAGGTCAAAGTCAAAGTCCACGATTGGTCAAAGTCAAAGTCAACACTCCAAGTTGATTCAACTTCGTCGAGTCATCTTCCTGACTTGCCGAGTTCCCTTGCTACTCGTAGTCATGATAAAGCGAGTCAACCCGTCGAGTCCCCCCTCAGACTCATCGAGTTCCACCCTATCTAGAATTGGTACTAATCGACTCAACTCATCGAGTTCCTTTACTCAACGAGTTCTTCGGTCTGTTTGAGCCATCTTAATAGATTAAGCTACTATCCTTCATATCTAAGCTTTATACTTCCTCTACATGCTGAGAATGTCCTTTTAAGGGTATAGTTTTCAACTTTACCCGTTAATACCTTTACTTAACGGGTTTAGCTCAAACCCTAACTCTTTAGGAACTAGATCTTGATCCTAAAGCCATCAATACTCTAAACAAGGCATAAAAGTGAGATATGGACCCTAGACACTAGATGAACACGTAAAGCTTCCAATTTTCCCTCCATGCATGGCCTATTGGAGCTTAAAAGGCCAAAATGACATCCTATAGCTTGCTTGGGGCTTCAATGGCCATAAAGTTTTCACCTTTATGCCAAGAAAGCCCTCCATGGTTGCAGATCTGATGGTATACTCACTTGGGACGTACATATCCCAAAAATCATGACTCTTAGACCAAAAACCCAACAAAATGATAATAAAGAGATCTAAGAAGTTACTAAGCAAGTTTGAGACTTGCTTACCAGAAAATAAAGAGGAAGAAATGAAGTCTCTGGATCTACTAGCTCCTTCTTGAATCCCCAAGCTTCTCCTTCCTACACAAGCTTCAACACACACAAAGTTTCACTCAAAAATGGTTCACAAGCTCACAAATGTATTATGGTTTCTGAATCGAGGGTTTGGGACTTGGAGGCTGGAAATGAGGCCAGCATGTAGGGATTAAGATGCTTAAATAGGGTGCAAAACCCTAAAATTAGGGTTTCATTCTGGTAAACCTACTCGTCGAGTTGAGGGATCTTAACTCGCCGAGTAGGTTACTAAAACCCTACGTCACTTCTGGTCTCTACTCGACGAGTTTGGGGCTCTCAACTCGTTGAGTTGCTCTACAATGAATAATTTATAATTTAAATACATACTAGGAACCAGGCGTTACTGTCTTTTACTTGGAGAAGAAGGTTGTTGTAGTCGGCTTAAGTTTTAATAACTCTTCTTGTACATGTATGTATGAACGTCTGCACAATCATGGCTTCCCATATCAAAGAACCATTATCTTCAAGACCATGGACGTAATCCTCAAAATGCAAAGCCCAGACTTCATGGTCTTGAGGGAAGAGTATAAGGATCCTGGTAGGGATCTGATGTTTCTTGAAAGATTAAAAGAAAGAGTATGTGGATCTTCAGGTTGCATGTTGTCGATTCACTTAAAACCTGTAAAGAATCAGATGTGTAAACTATAAAAAAGTTTTAGGACGTAATAAAGATCAAGATCTGACGTCAACAATCGATTAAAATGATCAAGAAGGCTAGAACAGATCCTATAAAAGCGGAAAAATGCTAATAACACTGCAACAGAAGAGTTGTGTATGATTTAGACAATCTCATTCTATGATACCAATTGTTAGAATAAAAATAGTGTAGATCGATCGAATCTAAACAGACATATGAATCAAGACAAGAACACAGTGATCGAATATGTGTTGAATGATTAAAAGTCACTGCCTTAGAAGAGCTTGACAAAAAACTTCTACTGTAAAGGCAGTTTAGGGTTAACTACAATCAATACTAATCAATGTGCATGCTTGCACTATATATAGTCTAACCCTAGCACATTAATATCGGGTAGACAGGCCCAACCCGTTTACAAAAGATCGATTAAACAATACGATATAATTATTGATACAACATTAAATAACCCAACAAAGATTTTAGGGTTTTTTGGGTTGAAAATCGATTCCTACAGGGGGTTAAAGGAGGACTGGGGAGATGACAGGAGAGGCAGAGGCTGAATGTAGAGTGATGTTGGTGGTCGAGGACCGTAGAGAACACCTAGATATTCAGGTGTTGAGGAAGTGGCGACGTCTTGGATTCTGCAAAATACAAATCAGGAGTCGGTGATCGGAGAATAATGTGTTGGCTACCCTCTTCGTGTAGGCCATCGGTGGTCTCAGGTAGTGGCCGACAGTGTCACTCATAAAGTAGAAAGCATCATTTGAATCCCAAAAATTGAACTCCAAATTATAGTAGAACAAGTAGCACGATAACAAAAGCTTTCAGGCTTCAATTGATAGATGATGGTAGTACGATGGTACGGTGGTGGTGTAAGTGATGATTGAAAACGGTAAAATAAATTTACCGCATGCGGTGTTCATAAGAACATTGTGCTTTTATTATTATTATTATTATTATTATTATTATTATTATTATTATTATTATTATTATTATTATATATATATATATATATATATATATATATATATATATATATATATATATATATATATATATATATATATATATATATATATAATGGGAAGATATATTTGCACCAAATTAGTTGCAGTTGTGGGCTTGCGAACTTTAGCTAAAAGGAAGTCCAATATAAGAAAATATAACAACCCAAAGTCCAAGATTGTGACTCATTTTAGCCCAAAATTGTAGTCAGCGTATGTGTCTTGATTGATCTCACGTGACCAAGTTATTTTCTAAGCACATTTAAAACAGGGAGCATAACATATAGTAGCCAATTAACCATTAGTCAGAGGTTTAAACCTGATAAAGAAACTTGTTATTTCATAGTTTTTACGTCTTTATGTTTTCTTGCCTATCATAAAATTCCTTTCATGCATTTTAGCACTAATCACATGATATATACACGACTACACATATACATTGAGCTCAATGATAAATGTATATAGTTTTATACAAAATAATTTTCAAGATTTTATTTCGGTTCTTAGTCGTTTATAGATAAGTGCTCGAGTCTGTTTCCATAGCTTGTGTGCTTCGGAATCATCATTAGCAAGTGCAGAGCAACGACTCTCATTACAATCTGCAAAGTATCTCCCACTCACCCCTTCCATTTTCGCGCTTAGAGCAACATAACACGTAGTTGATGCTGCTTGCGATGTTGACTTCAACAACTTGGAAGCAACAAAGAACATAGAATCTGAAAACGTCAAGGGAGTTCTTATAGTTGTGATGCCATTATTATAACATGAATGCAATTTGTAGGGTATTTTTTATGTAGTTTGGAGACATATAATATACCCGTGATAATGCCTTTATGATCCCTGATGATTCCAGTCTTCACGATCCCTGGATGCACAGAATTGATAGTTATGTTTGCGTCTATCGCCTGCCATTAAAAATCGACAACCCGACTTAGATAACCATCAACCTTTTACATTATTATATATCAAGGTTTGTAACTTGTAATTAACTTACACATTATTTAACTTTGTATATATAGTACATGCATGAGCATGTGTGTGCATACCTTCATTTGTGTTGCGAGCTCATTAGCATGCATTATGTTGGCCAACTTCGATTGAGCATAAGCTCGAGTTGCATTATAACTAATATCCAAAACAACATGTATTTATAATTAGTCCAAGCGTAATTAAGGTACATCTGAATAAATTAAGAGGTTCCATTTTTATCTAACACATACTGCTTTGGTTGGAGCATTCGGTTGAAATCGAAATGGTCCTTTTTCACCCAACTATGAATCACAGAAGAAACATTCACTATTCTTCCTTCGACTCCTGTTTGTTTTGCTGTATCTATCATCTTCTCTAACAATAGCTCCGTAAGTAGAAAATGACCTATTGGAAAGTAAAAGGAATAAGTAATAATATTCACAGTGATAATTGATGCGACATGAGTTGACCTTCTCATCTCCATTTTCCCCAGTCAACTTTCACTTTTACAAAAGAAGATTTGTATGTTGATTTATTTTGTCATAAAAATCATTCAAGCAAATAAATTTGGTTTGTATCAAGAAAAAAATGACATATCAAAAAAGCATTTTAACTCATTTTGGGCCACATGTTTAAAAGTTTTGGTAGTGTGTTATTATTTTGTATGGTAAAATAAATTTTATTGTTCTCAATTAAAAGTGTCCCATGTTCTATATGCAAAAAGAATATAAAATATAAAAATCATGTCGATGTTACATCTGTATTTTAGTATTTCAAACAATCTTTATGCCATTTAGACAGGAAATTTGCTAATAGACCCTAAAATTACCTAAAATTGAAATAAAAGGGTACGTAAGTAGTTTAAATTCTAAAGATACCCCAAATAAATATTTTTTTCCTTCTTTATTTTAAAATTTTAATTTTTAAAAATACCTAATGTTTACATTTTGATATTTAATATTTTTTAATTAACTCATGTAATATATGAGTTTAACACCTAGTATTTTAATATTATCTTAATATAAACCAAAATTAATATGCTAATTATTTTTAGAAGAAAAAGATAAATATTGCTGTTTTTTATTTTTTTTCTACAAATAACTATCGATTTTGTAACAATCAACTGCCAAAAATAGGAATTGTATCATGTTTATTAAAAAGGAAATTTATAAAAGGTATTGAAACAAGATAATGAAATCAAGAAATTACCCAAGTAATTTGTAGCAAATGTCATCTCAAATTTGTCCTCTGAGAACTCCAACTTCTGAGAAAATTTGCCTGCGTTATTTCTAAAAATAGAATTATATTCATTATTAGTCACATGGATATATACGCAAAAAATAAAAGTTCAAATATTGTTTATTCGAACAAAAATGGATGCTAAATGAAAATAAAACCTTACATGAGAATATTAAGAGGTATTTCTAGTGACAAAAATTCAGAACAAAATTTTTTAATGGAAGCAAATGAACTGAGATCAATCTCCAAGACTATGATGTCAGCTTTCGGGTGCTCCTTTTGTATATTTTCTTTCACTCTCGCCGCCTTCCTTAAATCTCTCGCCGGCATCACAATCTTCACCCCTCTCTTTGCTAATACTCTCGCTGTCTCTGCTCCGATTCCAGATGTAGCGCCTATAAATTCCAAAAATAATTAAAATAAATAATATTGTAGTTCATGTTACAAAAATGATATTTTGCTTTTATAATAGTAATATATTTTATTTTTATTTTAATAAGACAAAGTTATTACCATTGGTTTAACCATCAAATTATAATATAGTTTAAATATATAAAATTATTATCAATAATTAATTCTGAAACATAGTACTTACTACATAAAGTTATATTACAAAACATAAAATAAGTTGTTCCCACATAAGTTGCTATAGAAATTAGAAACACAAGTTACTGTCAAGAAAGAGAAATATCAAATATGTAAGCAGAGAATTAACCATTCTGAAAAGGGTAAAATGATTGTAATTGTCATGGGGGATTATCTGGAAAGCAGTGATATTGTGTAAACCAATGAGACAAGGTCTTCATGAAAGACAAAACCATTTTGCTCAACATGGAAAAGGGACCCGCTTTTATTAGCTTTTTTTTTTTTTTAATTATTTTAATAAGCTCTAAATTTTTGACCACTTATTTTTTTATTGCCTTAATCAAATTTAGTGTTTTTTTTTTTTTTTTTTTGGATTTAAAATCTAGCACATCCTAAATATTAATAGTGGTTTGCGATTACTTCAGACAGATTGACATGGGTTGTTTATATTGTACGGTTTATGATATTATTTTTAGTTTTTTCTTCATCTAAATCCTATAATGGTTAATAAGACGTTATGACATCAAAAGGCTTGCATCTGGATCAAAATCAATGCCTCTCAATATTTGTAACTATTAACCATATGTAAACTTGAAATATTGGTTTTGAAAGTCCTGCAAAAATAAAATTAACTCTCCGTATATATTATATAAAACAATTTGAAATTTATTTTTATTTTTTTTAAAAGACAGGAGATAAAAATGTAGTATACTTAATATGCCATCACCATGCATAAGTTGAGTGACAGAATATGTGATCTAAGAATTATCTCACAAACCATTAACCTCACCTCCTTCGATCCTCATGATTCCCTCAAACCCTACCACATTCTTGTCTATGATTGAAAGAGTATTTCTCTATCAAATATTGATCAATTGTCATATATATTTAGATTTCGATATAAATATATACTACTATATGAATTTCAAAATTACAAGTGAACACAAAAACTAACATACAAAATTCGAATCATGTTAAGATTACTTTGAATGGTATAGCGAGAAAATATCAAGGAAGATTTACATTGTTTCACATACATAAATATGTTTTTTTCTGAATGACGAAAAAAGGATTTGGAAGATGCAAGCAACCATGAACCGAACAAAGCAACTACAATGAAAGCATGTCAGTCGAAAAAAGTTGTAAAATCTACACAAGGTTAGCAGTGTGGGTTTCACAGCTTTTCGGCTTATATGTTTTTCTTGTATTATTAGGTTTGCTTCTAGTTCTTTTACAGTATTTCTTTATAAAATTTCGACTCTAAAAGAATATGCAATCTTGATTCGAATCCTGATCCTAAATATTACCAATGAATCATCAGGAGAGTCGATAAAAAAAATCACCAATCCAAGAGGATTTTGAAGTAAAGAAATGAGAAAAAAATTACCAGTGACAATAGCAGTGAGATGAGGAGGAAGGGAAGAACAATCTTGAGTAACTTGATCAGCAGTTGACTTTGATCCATATCCGCTTTGACCTGCAATCCCAGCTAAGTACCTCATGGTTCCCTTCATGTTTGGCGTACACCTTATCACAACCTTCCACGCCAAAGTTATAACACCAAATAAACACAAACAAATATATATGGGGAGGTTCAACATTCTCCTACTCCATGGTCCACCATAAGCTGGTAGTCTTGCACAATAAGATTTGTTCAGAGGAGAATAAGGAAGTCAAATATTTGACTCGTGTGTCTATTGCTTGGATGAGTTATTTAAAAGTGAAGCAAGTGATTAATCGTGGAAAAACATGAGTAATAATGTTGGTTTTCTTTCTACTAGGTAATTATTGTTGTCCTCTACACTCATTACAGATATTATTTTCCATCTAATATATATGTGTAATATATGTGGATACTCATGTAAAATTTGAACCAATGTCATTTAAATTGTATTTTGAAACATATATATTTGGATGGGATTATGGATTAAATTAGGATTTAGGTTGACATTGAAATCCTACTTTGATGTGTCCATGTTTTGTCATTTTGAACTTTTGGTACATCTAAGACCCTAATTTTTTATATTTTTTTTAATAATTGAACTGAATACACCATATCAAATGTTATAGGAGGTTTTGTGCCAACTAGGCATCCATGGGACGTCAAACGTGGCATTATTTTTATTTTAACTTTCTTTTGTAATTAAAAAAAATTATTATTATTTATTTATTTATTTAAATTATGAACACCCTTAAAAAGTCAAAGAGAAACTTACACAAAAACCGTCTACCAATGTCCACCATTACTACGATAGTAACCCTAATCAGTGTTGTAAAACTCGACGAGTTGGCCGATTACTCCTCCGAGTACTCGCTACACGGCCCCATACCGAGAAGAGTTATAAAATCTCGAGTACTCCCAGATCGTCCTGTTACTGAACTGAGTAGTGTTGCAAACCCGGTCTACTCGGTAATTAATATTTATAATATACTTAATAATTTATTATTTAACACACACAAATGTGATTATTACTACATATATATTTTAAATTTTCAGTAATTATTCACGAAGTGAGACCATTATGAGTTTTTTCAGTTTTTGTGTATTCACATGTACCTGATTTTGTTATATATTTCAATCAACTTAAGATTTTAACTTATGAGTTTAACATATATAAGTTCCCTAAAAATATTTCTACATGAACTACTGAATCCGAGTACTCCTGAGTACTTGCTACTCGGTAGTCGACCGAACAGGTACCGAGTAATGAGTTCTACAACCATGACCCTAATATACCCTAGATCTAACAATTCAAACGACACCTCTCAGTAGACCGAAATAGGGTTTTGGACTTTAAGCAGTTAATAGTCATGCAAAGTCATAAAGTTCGAAACTTTATGACTTAGGACATCATTTTGGGCTTGGATCTGCGTTTTGGATGGAAGGGTTTAATGGGATAAGGTTTAATGGAGTTTTGGGACTGGGTTGTGTACGCTACACGTAGATAGTCAGCACCTCGCTTTTTAGTCAACATCAAAGTACGTTGGGTGTAATCTCTTGGTACGGAGGGCGTACTCCGCTGCGAAGGGATATTCACTTTTAGGACCTTGACCGTTGACCTTGACTTTGACCAGGATTGACCAAGTTTGACTTAAGAGTATTTTCAGTATTTCGAGCTATAGTTAAGCCTTGGTCTCTATCTGTTGAATAGATAACCTGTAGAGCCGGTTGTTAGAGCAGAGATTCATTCAGATTGTTTTCAAGCTGAGAGGTGAGTTTTCCTCACTGTACTTTCGGGTCAAAGGCACCAAGGTTGGCCTGTTGGACTGGTATCCTGGTCTACCCTATGTTGTTATGTTGTAGTGATCTGTTAGAACTGTATCCTAGTTTATAGGATATTGATATGCGGTAGTAATCTGTAGATCTGCCTGTTTGCCTTTTGACTGATTATATCTTTATCTGTTATGTATATTTCGACATGTTATGGTTTTTAATTGAGGCTTTACTGCGTTGTGCGTGAGTCAACAGACTGGGGGGATTCTAAATAGATGATTGAGTGGGCCCGAGGGTATTCCAATCAGATAACTTAGTGGACTCGTTGTATATTGGCATTCCAGTTCGATAACTAAGTGGAACCCTTGTATATTGGCATTCCATTCCAATGACTGATTGGCTCGGGGGTAATAGTCCGATGGTTGTAGACCCATTATACTAATTAATAAAATATGTTATGAGGTTCTTTAACTTTAATGTTAATTGATTTTCATGAATTATATACTTCATTGATTTATAACTTTGATTAAGAAAATATTTTATGAGCTATTTTAACCATTATACTGATTACGAAGAATCTAGGCAACTTAAGTTATTAAGTCATTGTAGTCAAACTAGATTATGTCATTCGTATTGCACAATGATTTTTTAGTGATAAATAAACAAAATATCCATGTGCGGAAATTTCAGTGTCAACCATTCTATCTCTATTGATTCAATCAGTTATTTACTTATTAATGGTAACTTATTTGTATTTTTATAACTTAGTTTAATAACAAACAAATCAAATTCCTCGATTTTTCTTTAATTGTCATTTTATAAATATCTTTACAACTAGATTTTCATAGACTAACAAATTGAATCAATCTTCATGGATTTTGATCATTTTATCACTACACACTATAAAATATGTTAGAGTACAAGGTTATTTATTTGTTGGATGTCATTGACCACTTTTAATTCATTAAAAAAAAGTATTTTTTAAAGTGCATATATATATATATATATATATATATATATATATATATATATATATATATATATATATATATATATATATATATATATATATATATATATATATATATATATGCACATTTCAGAAAACACACTTTTTTTAGCCTTTTCAACTAATTAAAGTCTAATAAGTGTCTTAATGGGTCTTAAAGGATTTTTTATTTTTTTCAAAAAAGAAGATGGCTAAAACTAGGCTTGAAAATAAAATAAAAAATAAGAAGTGTTTTTTATATTTTTATAAATTTTTAAGTCATCAATATATATATATATATATATATATATATATATATATATATATATATATATATATATATATATATATATGTTCTATAGAAAACAAAAAAAAAACCCTAAAAATCATAAAAAAGCATAAAAAAATACTTAGAGATCACAAATTGCTTTTTTGAATTTTTTTATAAAAAATCGCAAGTTTTTGTTAAAATTCGCTGTAAAAAATAATCAATTTTTTTTTGTAAAAGGAAAAAAAAATCAAAATTTTTTTCACCAATTTTGTATAAAAAGCTGCGATTTTTTCAAAAAAAAGTTTTATGATCTCTAACTATTTTTTTTATGCGTTTTTATGATTTTTAGGGTTTTTAGGGTTTTTTTGTTTTCCAAATAACCATCCTTTTATATATATATATATATATATATATATATATATATATATATATATATATATATATATATATATATATATATATATATATATATATATATATATATGTTCCAATGAGAACATTTTTCTTGTGAAAACATTTTGTACAAATAAAAATAGACCTGAAATGTGCATATACGTATATTTTCTAATTTATATATAAGTATATATGAATAAGTATGTATATATATATATATATATATATATATATATATATATATATATATATATATATATATACACACTTATTCATATATAAATATACGTATTTATATATACATGGTTGTTAAGATCCTGATCTTGATCGTAACATCTTACGGTTTTAAGATCCTACAAACCAAAAATGATTATGATCTCAGTAGAATCTATGTCAAGCAAAATATATTGTGGGATCTTAACATCCCAACTAGGTTCTTAAGATCTTAGCACGATCCGATCCCACCTCTCGAGTTTTATTATATAGTTGACACTCAAAAATTTCTCTATTCATCTTAAAATCGAGTATTGTAGGTTTGAAGAAGCCTCATAGAGTTTCATTGGTAGGTCATAGTCATGATACTCCTTTTTTGATATTAAGCCTTTAGTTGTATATGATCGTAGTTATCTTATTTCTTTTCGCAATTAATATGTTTTTTTTCTAATTTTACGCTTTAAAACAACAAAAATTATGGTTCATGTTCAAATGTTAAAGTTAACTTCATATTGACGTTTTAGTCCACATTAAGCTATTATATATATTCCACACTCAATACCTTACAAGCAAATTTACATATGAGTTCATTTTAGAAGGATTTTAAGATCCCGATTCGATCTTACGATCAGGATCTTGCAGAATATAGAACGATCATGGTTAAGATCCTTATCTTGACAATCTTGCATATGTGAATATGATTTGTTCCATTATGTTTCTACGTAGCGCTTATGCACCAGATTTGAAAAGAGTAGCCTAGATTCGTTCCTTCTTTCTAAATCTCTTTTTTCTTAGTTGAACTCTCATATACAATATATATATATATATATATATATATATATATATATATATATATATATATATATATATATATATATATATATAAGAATTGCAAATGAAATTAACAAACCAAATTATATGCATATACAAATGCACTTTTAAAAAAAATTTATGTATGCATAAAAAATTGTGAATATGCATCAAAAATACATTTTTTAAAAAGAAAATATATTTGAATTTTGAAATATAAGGTATATTTTCATTTATTTGAAAAAAAAATAAGTTTAGTTAAAAACTTTTAAATCAGTGAAAATATATCTTATATTTTGAAATTAACATTTAAAAAATGAATTTTTCAAAAATTTTAATGCATATTCATATTTTCTATGTATATGTATATTTTTTAAAAACATGTGCATATTCACATGCATAATTTTAGAAAAGATTGTTAATATTTGTGTATGCATAATAGTAAACATATACATATACACATGAATAAATATATCCATATGTATATGAATAAGTATATACACATGCATATGCATATCCATAACAATAAGTATATGTATAAGCACAAGGTAATTAAATACATATGATTATTATTTATATGTATATGTATAAGAATAAGCATATGACATGTGCATATTCATAAGTATATATGCATATGAATAACTATATACATATTCATAAGTATATACATATGCGTATGAATAAGTATATACATAATAATAAGTATATGCATATGCATAAAAATAAGATTATGCATATGCATATGGATTTGCATATGTATAAGAATAAGTATATGAAATATACATATTCA